GGCGACTCCTAGCGTCTTCACGCAGGGTAGCGTGGGGTGTTGGTGGTCAGCTACCGAGATCAGCGTGTTCGGCGCCCGGTCGGCTTCTGGCACAGACTTCATGACCTCTGCACTGTTCGACATCCACTTCCGTAGATGGAAGCCTCCCTTGGCCAGTGTCTCCTGGACGTCAGTACGTAGGCCCACCGGCCTCCTCTGGCGTTGGCGCAGACGCGAGTAGGTCGTCCACATAGAGGTTGTCCATGATGATGGTGTGTGTGGGTGACCCTTCGGCGGCATAGGTGGCCGCGACAGCCTGGACGGCCTTTCCGGCGAGGTATGGCGACGCCTTACACCCGAAGCACACTCGCTGGAATTCGAACACCTTGGCTCTTCCGTCGACCTCCCACAGGAATCGGTGATACCTGCGGTCTCTCTCAGCCAGCTCCACATGCAGGAACATCTCGCTGATGTCTGCCATCAGAGCCACAGGTTCCTTACAGAACTTGAGTAGGCAACTCACGATGTTGTTCTGTAGTGCTGGGCCGGCGTGCATCTCCTCGTTGATCGAGACGTCGTTCTTCTTGGCCGCCGCGTCAAACACTATCCGCACCTTGGTGGTGGTGCGGTCCTCCTTGATCACGGGAAAGTGGGGCAGGAACCACTGGTCATCCGCATCGTTGTGCACTTCCGTCTCGGGCACCTCGCGGATATACCCCTTCGTCAGGTACTGTTGGATGACACCGGCGTACGCTGCTGCGAGCTCAGGTCGTTTGTACAGGGACCGTTGGAGACTCGCCAGTCGTTGTTGGGCCATCGGTCTGTTCGAGGTCACGTGAGGCTTTCTGTCTTCAGCGACCCACGGGATGCCAATGGTGACACGGTTGTTGTTGAGGCTCATGGTGTCGTCAGTCACCTTCTCGGCTTCACGCTCAGCTCGAGACATGGTCTCTCCCGTGGCTGTAGAGCGGATGGTGTCTAAATTGAACATGCTACGCACCATGGCATTCAGCTCCAGGGTTGGCTCGGTGGGCTCTGCGGTCGCGGCATGTGTGGCGTGGTGGACGGTTGGTTCCGCCGATGTTCCGCTCCCCTCCAGGAGACCGAAACAAATCCATCCGAGTGGTGTCTTTCTTGCGATTGGACCATGGCCAGGCCCACGGCGTTCGGCTAGCGAGGCGTGCAACTGTGGAACGTCAAGGCCCAGTAGGATGTCCACAGTTGGGTTAGCTGGGGTATCCGGATTCATCCCGCGCAGGTGTGGCCAGCTTGCCTTCTGCGCATCCCAGTCCACACGTTGCATGTCGGCGGTTATCTGAGGGAGAACGACCGCCTGCACTGGGGTTGTTGCAGTTGAGTCTTTGTGACAGATCTCTATGGGAGCGATCCTAGACTCGTGCTGCAGACAGCTGCCACCGAGAACAGTCGTGCGCACGGACGTGGTCTCACCGGGTGGGACATTCAGCTTCTCAGCCATGTCGGTGGTGATGAAGCTGCAGGTGGACCCAGAATCCAGCATGATCGTTGCTTGTAGCTCGACGTCTCCACATCTCACTGTCCCCACAGTCGTCATCAGAGCTGGTAGGTTTGCAGGGGTTTCGGCATGCAGGGCGCTCGCTGCAGAAGCCATATTCGCGGTGTTGGTGCGAGCGGCGTTTTGTTGGCTACCGCTGCTAGGCCTGTCAGAATCGTCCCTGTGGAGCAGCGTGTTGTGCTTGCCTTTGCACTTCCTGCAGTGGCTCGAGGTGCAATTTCTGGCGAAGTGACCGTCCTGTAGACAGTTCACACACAGGCCCAAGAGGCGCACCAGCTCTGATCGCTTCTGGACGGGTAGCTGTTGGAACTCCTTGCACTGCGCCATTGCGTGCTCTTCCATGCACTTCCTGCAGCTCTTCTTCTTCCTTGGGGAGTCAGAGGTGGCGTCGCGGGTAGTGCCCGCTGTTACTGCGGCCAGGGTCGTTGACCTTCTAGGCGGTGGGGTTGGCTGAACGGCGGCCGTCTTGGTGGAGTTTGGTGTCACCAGAGAGGCGGCTTCCGCTCGTTCGGCCAACCATTCAGACAAGACACCAAGGTCTAGTTCATCCGTACTAAGGCCCTTGGCCTTCACATACTCGCCCCACTGCATTCGATGGGGGAGCGACAGCTTGGCCACCAGCTCATCACGGAGCGCAGGGTTGTTCCTGTGGTCATGGCTCTTTAGCAGCTTCATAGTGAGGACGATGTTCCTCACAGATGTGGCCAAGGAGTGCAGGGCGTCCGTGTCCTCTGCTCTGGCTGGCTTCAGCGCCTTGGCCTGCTCGATTAGCTGTTTCACTACCAATTCCGGCCGGCCGAAACGACGCTCCAGTGTCCGGATGGCCTCGTCTACATTGTCTGGCACGGCCAGGAGCAGCTGTACTGCCTCCTGGGCTGGTCCCTTCAGGCAGGTCTGCAGGCGCTGGACGTTCTCTGCGTTTGAGTATGCGCATTGCTCCGTGCTGCTTCGGTACAGCGCGAGGAACGCGGGCCATTCCTCCGGCTTGCCAGAGAAGATTGGCAGCTTGCTGCTGGTGGATGACTGGCGTGCAGCCAGCTGTCTGATGCCAGCGTTACTATTCTCGACCTGGGAGGTCTGCCCTTGACGTAGGGCCTGGGTGATTGCACCTACAAACTCACTGGCCAGGTCTGCTATCTGACGCGCAGGATTGCTGTTAACTGTGCTGCCAGTAATAGTACCGGTAGTAGAGGTACAACCACTCATGTACGCGTCTTCGACCTCACTCGCATTACTTGCTGCGCCCTTACCACCGGCACACGTCTCCGTAGCTCTGGCACTAGAGTATCCACGTGGCCCTGACTCTGAGTCGGAGTCTGAGACTGTCATGTAGCCGCGTGCACGTGCACTCGTGTCGCGACGGTGCTTTCGTGGTGCGGGTACTGGCATGGATGCGTGTGGGTGACTGGGTGACGTAGTGCTCGGGATACCGCTATGCCTTGTGCTTGCGGTCGACTCGCAGCGCTCACGTCTCTCCTCGTGGACCTGTGCAGGCTGTGGTTGCACTACCGGTAAGCCTTGTACTTCTCTAACAGGCTCAGTGACACTACCAGACTTCGGCGCTCGTCGTTGTCTGGCACGGCTTTCTCGTAGGGCATACTCCGCTGCGAATAGCCGCTGCCTCAGCTCTGTCATCGATCGGGCCAGCTCATCGTTGTGTTCTCGTTCTGCCGCAAGATCCCTGGCTTGCTTGTCGCACGCTAGCTCGACCATTGCCCTACTCGCCTCAGCTTCCTCTAGGTTCGTCTGCAGTGCGTAAGCGTCTCGCTGGCGCCGCTTCTCGACGATCGCGGATTCATCGATCATCGTCTGAAGCTGTAGTAGTTGCTGCTGATACGCAACTTCCTTGGCCCGGAACTCACGTTCTACACTGCGTAGACTACTGCCAGTACTGGATCTCGGCAGTTGCTGACGCTCTACGAATGTCCTATCCCAGGGCTCGGGCCCTATTCCCCGCTGAATGGACTCGCTTAGATAGTCAGCGTAAGTGGCATCGGCTACAACAGCAGTGGTGTGTTCAATCGTTCTTTGAAGTACCTGTGTCTGTGCCTGTGCCTGCGGTTCTGGTTGATGAAACGGAGGTTCATTCAGGTGTTCATGAATCGGATCTTGGACTACGCATGGCGGTGCCTGGTAGTGGTAGCTGTGTGCCGGAGTGAATGCACGGACATGCTGGACATCTGAGTCCCTCTCTACATGTGCGTCTATCACTACGTCTACCGGTGGTGGTGTGCTAGCCTGACAGGCCTCTGCATGGTGTAGACCTACTGCTGATTCTGACGTTACGTGCGTAGATCTATGGGAAGCCTCTCCTTCTGATGGCTGAGATTCTGCACCGACTACCGTGTGTGACTCTGTTGGTGTTGGAACAGCAACTGAACTAGGTGCAACTACATCATCGTCAAAGTCGATGAGCGACGTATCTTGGGCTGCAACCGCCTCATGCAACTCACCCGCTTCCTGGAAGACTTCTTCTCGCATCGCAGGAGAGCTGGAGGTCTCAACGGACCTTTCCCTCAACGTCCCTTCGGCTTCCGACATCGCCTGCTCCGTCAACCGGGCGATTTCCAGCCGCTTTTCCGCCACAGCCTGTTCCGCTTGTAACACGGCTATCCTGGCGCTGAGCCTGTCAGCTGAATTCGCGGTGACGGCTTGGCTCCTACTTTCGGTCATCCTGTCATCTCCACCACTAGCACCAGCGTAGGACTGGGTGTCTGTGTACCCGAATTTTGGCGCTGCGACGCCTTTCGTCGTGCGCTGACTCCGCCTGAGCTTCTCCATCGTGGACGTGATCCGGCTCGAAGGACCACTATGTTCCGTATTCCCCGGAACCAGGTTGCATCAGTACCGTAACTGTAATACCGACTGCGGATACTTTCCGAACCCACGTTCAACAATGGAGACAAACTTTACTGGTTCGAGTTCTCACTCTCAAAACACCAACTCCATCTTGGATTATCTTGGATGCACTCTAACAATGCCCTAGCAAAATCTATCAAGAACCTAGCTAGAACTGACTGTAGAACAAAGAATACACAGCTACATGTATAAGCAAGCGTCGATGTGTATAGGGAGTACAAGCAACACTGTCAATGGTGAATGCGTGACGTAGTCTAATGAGTACGTGTTGGCGGTCAGACACTTGACCTTATCGTATTATGGTATGAGTCATGCACATGTATGGAGCTTGAGGCAGTCATGCATGGCTACAGGTATAGTGCTCGATGAATGCACGCAAAGTGCAGTCCTGTAATGTGACCTGTTGAAACCTGAACGGTACCAGGCGTCACCACGACTCCGACAAGGGGGTTATGCACTCTTGCCTGTACCAAGAGTATTCTGTCTTGATTCGCGGTTTCTTGCTTAGTTTTCTAGCATGTCCAGCTCTGCGTACCCATCAAACCACATATGGATGAATGCTGGTGTCATGTTATGCTGTTTTTGAAATCACCTAAGTGTAATACCTGCTTGATAATCTCTGCTGCAGGGATGGTGCTCTGCTGTATACATCGGCAGGCACAGGACATTTCAACGACACTGGCCTGCGTGCGTACTCCACTTACACATATGTGGTGAGTTTACCATCATCACTGCCAGGCTGTTGGGACTTGTACTAAAGTAAAACGGTGTTTAGGGACGATCCAGTGGTGGACAGGAAACCGGGTGTATATCTACACAAATCAATCCGCATGCGTATAGCCATGGTCATGATTTGAGCGATCTTCAAAGACAGCTATTCTGGTATTGCAGTGGTTGCAGACGTAGCCAGTTTTTATTATAGGCAATTGCTATTGGTATTCCACTGAAGGTGCAAGTCGCTTAGAGAGAGAGCGTGTTTAGCTGTTGCTCAGTTGTCTGCTGCTGTGGATTCCTGTGTTCTACAGTTGATGGTATGCTCTCGGTTTTCCTGCGCTAATAGCTCTGCAGTTGTCGGACGAACAGCTGAGGGCAGTAAGTCTCTAATGGGCTGAAGACATTCACCATCTATTTATATAAATAACTTGAACTTTAATCGTGCCTGGTTATTGAACGGCTCCCGAGCAGAGTCGTGGTGGTCACACTCTCCACTTGTATGCTTTGTGTTAGTGGTGTGGAGGCTTCTTCGCTGCTTCACCCTGTGCTTCAAATCAATTCTCTGTCTCATGTGCTGCTAGCTATGTGTTTGAGTGAGCTAGGCATGTGTGCTCAAATTGCTTGTCTGCAGAGCTTTACAATGACTGCATGATATTTTGTCCTGGTTGATGTGTCTTCACTCTCTGTGCAGTTACAACTGGTATCCTGGCTCCAGCCGTGAATTTTACAGCCAGAAAGACAGCAAGCATAACATGGAGTAAGTAGAACTAGAACCTAGAACCGACCTGTTGAGTTATGGTAGTGCAGTGAAACCTGCATTTAGAGACCACTGCAATAAGGGACCACCTATCGTGAGATGCCACCTGTCTTGAGAGGCAAACTGTCTTTTAATAATTTGTACAGACCACCTGCCTTTAGAGACCACCTGCCTTTAGAGACCACATGCCTTTAGAGACCACCTGTCTTTAGAGAACACCTGCTTAGGAAAGGTTACACTGTACCGGTGACTATGACTAGCAGCCGTATCACCTCTTCGCTAAATCAAAAAACTGTCTGCAAGACGCAGCTTTTAGTTCTGAACTAACTGCTTGCAAAGGTAGGCTTAGTCTAGAGCAGAGCAGAGCAGAGCAGAGCAGAGAGAGAGAGAGAGAGAGAGAGAGAGAGAGAGAGAGAGAGAGAGAGAGAGAGAGAGAGAGAGAGAGAGAGAGAGAGAGAGAGAGAGAGAGAGAGAGAGAGAGAGAGGGAGGGAGGGAGGGAGGGAGGGAGGGAGGGAGGGAGGGAGGGAGGGAGGGAGGGAGGGAGGGAGGGAGGGAGGGAGGGAGGGAGGGAGGGAGGGAGGGAGGGAGGGAGGGAGGGAGAGAGGGAGAGAGAGAGAGAGTTTATGAAGACAAAGTGATGACAGCTGGTAAGCATAACGCTCACACTAAGTATTATGTGTTGTGTGTGTGGTCACACATGTGCAGGTGCACCAGCAGTAGCCAATGGAATAGTGACTGGATACTCTATTGCTGTAAGAGATGCTTCGGCCTGTTGTCCGCGTACGGGTACTACTATCAACTGTACGGCATCGGATATGTGAGTATGTTCACACAAGCACTTGAAATGGTCCTGAACTATAAGTAGTGGTGATGTATGTCACACCAACCATAGCCTACACTCTGTGGATTGCACACTGCGATTTGAACACGCATGAGCCGCAGCCAGCAAAAAATAATGGTAATAGGGTGAAATTTTGAAAAACGGTTTTTGCTCCAAAACACTTCTTCATAATGTGAATTATCATTCCTGAAAGTTTGAACGTATTCTAAGGTGATGGGGGTGGTTGAATACCACTATATGTACCAGGGATGAATTTATCCTGTATCGCATCGCAGTTTGCAATGCAAAATTGATCTACTGCTACTCAAAAGTCACCGTGACTCGCAGAAAATTGCGATACAGTCGACCTACCCTTATAACGATAACCTCTATAACGATATTACCCTTATAACGATATTTTTCTGCCGAACCAAATCACTCCATTGACTTTTGTATACAATGCCTTACCTCTATAACAATATTGCTATAACAATATTACCCCTATAACGATATAAAATGGGCTGACCAATTGACATTTTCCATTTTATAACAATATCTAGCAGGGAATAGGAGGGAATATGCAGAGGCCACTATCTAGGTAGGGCAAGCTTCACTGGATAAGTCGCTGAGAAATGACGAAATGCAATGGGGGCACCAGTGGGCACCTTGCTCTGTACATAATGTGCATGTACGTCAGTTTTTTTATGCTATGAAGAGTAAAAAATGAACAAAACCATGCATTATGACGTATGTGTATGAAATGAACCAGTTACCCCTATAACAATATTTCTTGGTTTGACGCAAATATCGTTATAAGGGTAGGTCGACTGTACATACAGACTATCCATGCCTGGCTTGCGCTATCAAGTAACATGCATACTGTGCAGTGTATGTGGTGCCGGTACTCTGAATCTGCGTGCACATTTATCCTTCAATCGTTTTTTCGCAAATGGACTTTCAGGCATCACTCTCAAGAAGGACAATGTGGTAAACACCCAACCTTCAGAGGAAAATGTTAATCAAAATCAAAGACTGCTACACAATTGTGATTTCGTATAGCAAAAACTGCTATGCAAAAATATGACAGCAAATTCATCCCTGTGTACAAGGGTGTCCAGATTGGCAATTGCTGTCAGTTTACTTCTGCATTATGGTCAGTTATAAGTCCTCTGCCATGCCCTCGGCCTCTTCTTGGCCTGTGGCATTGCTCCAGGGCTCTTCTGAGTCTTGGCCCAGGTGTTGCCTGATCTCCTTGTTCAGGTACAGCAGCCTTGCATCACTGATACCGCCTGGTGGCAAGGTTGTCGGCAGGCCGCGTGCAGCGACAGCAGCAATGCTGTGGCATTCGGGTAGTGCGTACTCAGTCCTCAGTACTCACTGCAAATGTATATTATCCTCTTTTTGTCCTGCTCACAGGTGCCTGGGTCCGGTAAGAGTGGTGGTGAGAACGAACTCTTCAACACTCGCCACTGTGGTCACTGATGTCACACTGTTGGCATACACCCAGTATGCCTTTCAACTAGTGGCCAGCAACGGCGCAGGGGATGCGAGGGGTGCATACGTGTTCGCTGTGACGCCACAGGACGTTCCGAGTGGCCTGGAACAGGCCCGTGCAGTAGCGACGGGTGCACGGTTCGTAGCCCTGTCCTGGAGCACACCACAGATGCCCAACGGTCCAGTGGACTTGTATCAGATATTGCGCAACAACAGCTCACCGATCAGCCTATCTGCATCTACGACGGTGTATAACGATACCAGTGTGTTGCGCCCGTTCACGATATATAGCTATGTATTGTCTGTGTGCAATACGGGTAAACTATGCACTACTGCATCGCCCTTGGTTGTTAGGACGGCTCAATCAGTTCCTGATGGTGTTGTATCACCAGTGGTGATGTCTGTTTCCGCAACATCAGTTTATATAACCTGGAGTAGGCCAACACAGCCCAATGGTCTTATAACCATGTACCGGATCCAGCAGCTCACTCCACGAATAGCATCACCCATTGTACTCAGCGGGGCTGACTCTCTGAATGCCACCGTGTCAGGCCTGCAAGCCTACACCAGCTACTCCTATGCACTGGAAGCGTGCACGGTGATCGGCTGTACAGCTAGTGCCGCCTCATTACCAGTCAGGACTCTCGAGGCGGCACCACTTCTACAGCCTGCACCGCAGGTTATCGCGCTATCGTCCAGTTCTGTTAATATCTCATGGCTACCTCCTATGCAGGCGAATGGTATCATCACGGCATACAAGCTGTCCCGGAACGGATCAGAGATTGCGCAATTCCCTCAGAATACGTCAACCTTTGTCGACATCCACTTGTCACCCTTCACTGTTTACAGCTATGTCATTAAGTCTATCAACTCAGCTGGTTCAGTGACCAGCACAATGATATCATCGGTGACTCATGAAGATCGGCCCAGACTAGTTCAGTCGCCGATAATCCTAGCTAGAAACGCATCTGCATTCGAGTTCCGATTTCCGCTACCCTTACAGCCTAACGGTGTGCTGGCGAACATCACGCTGTACATTGATGGCATGGCGGTACGCACTGTGAGCGCACTGCCCAGTCCAGTTCTGGCACTGACCGGCTTTGACGCATTCACAAACTACACGTTCAATGCGGAGTTCTGCACCGTGGCTGGCTGCTCACTGAGTCAGGCGGTGACGGCACGGACAGCCGAAGCACTTGCCGCTGTGAATTTCCCGCCTAATGTGACAGCTCTAAACGCATCCACTGTCGTTGTTCAGTGGACCATGCCAAGCGAACCCAATGGTGTTATCAAATGTTACTCTGTGGAGAGGAGGCTGGTTGCCGCTGCAAGCGGTGGATCAAGTATTGTTGCAAAGCTTGGACCAAACGTACTCACGTTCCAAGATTCTCAGCTAATGTCGTACACTGCTTACGAGTACCGTGTCCAGGTTACTAATGGTGCTGGTACGTCCGATGGTCCCTGGCAACAGGTCAGGACGCTAGAAGGCATTCCAATGGGAGTCCAATCTCCTGCAGCCCGGCCGCTACAACGCAGCGTCGGCTTGACGTGGAGTCCACCGCTGCGCCCCAATGGTGTCGTTATTCGTTTCGACGTGCTTGTGAGGAACGCCAACACAGCTGATCTGTTCAAGGTGGCTGTCACTACAACTGGACTGGCCGCACAGGTAGACAGTCTTGAGCCCTACACTGCCTATAGCTTTAAGCTTGCTGTCACAACTGGAGGTGGGTCGGGCTTGAGCAATGCTGTCAACATCACAACCCTAGAGGATGTTCCAGAACAGCTGGCGAGGATCACTATTGCAGGCCGGGATACAGTCACGGGAAGCTGGCTCAACCTAACATGGTCGCCGCCCTTGCAACCGAACGGCATCGTCACGGAGTACCGTGTGCTGGTTGCTACTGGAGCCCTTGAATACCTCGGCACAGAACTGGGTTTCTTGTTTCGCCGCCTCGACCCCTACACAACCTATAACCTGTTTCTACGTGTGTGTACTAAAGTGGGGTGCACCGATGGTGCCCTGCAGCAATTCACTACACCAGAAATCAAACCCGAACATCAGCTGCCACCGAAAGTCACCGTGCTGTCCAGCTACGCGGTGAATATTTCCTGGAGTCCGCCGGGCCTTCCGAATGGTGTTCTGACGTCGTTTACTGTTATCAGGCAGCGTGGCTCGAATGGCACTCAGTTATCTGTAGGGACATTGGACCCACGGCGGACCGTCTCTCTAGTGTTTGTTGATAGTGGTCTGGTACCTTTTACTGAGTACCGGTATGCAGTGCAGAGCGGCAACCGGATAGGCAATACTACCAGTGTGTTTAGCTTACCAGTGACAACCCTACCTGCTCCGCCAGTAGGGCTGGCAACACCTCACGTCATCACTCAGTCCTTGAACTCCGTACAACTCAAGTGGCTAGCACCAACGCAGGCAAATGGTATTTTCTCCAGGGTCGATGTGCTGAGAAACCGCACGGCAATTACTCAGCTAGCGGTGTCATCGCATAACTACCTTGACACTGGCTTGTCCCCAGCGCTTCTGTACTGCTATCAGATCCGGTACTGTGTGCACGTTGGTGGCTGCTCGGATTCCATTAGTGCATGCAACCGCACTGCTGAATCAATTCCAGCCGGCATTGCAGTACCAGCATTGAGTGCTGTCAGTGCGTTCATCGTCCAGGCTGCCTGGTCTGTACCCACCCTGTCCAATGGAGTAATAACGTCGTTTAATCTGTACATCACACGGCCCTGTTCCAACGGATCACATTGCCTGGCGTATAGCGGGCTGGAAACCACCAGCAACATCACAGGTCTGGTTCCATACACTCGGTACACCTTTGAGCTGGAAGCATGCACAGTGATTGGCTGCTCTCCACGCTCACCGCCTGCACAGGTGAGGACACTGCAATCTTCACCTAGTCAACCTGCACCACCAACTCTAACCGTACTATCGGCTGACGAGATCCAGGTTGTGTTCACAGCACCTCTATCACCCAATGGAGTTCTCCAGTTCTACGCAATATTGCAAAATGACACTGCTGTATCCTTCATTGATGCAACAACTGTGCACAGTTTGACGTATGTAGCATTGGGTCTCCAGCCCGATACGGTGTACTCGTTTGCAATACGTGCTGCAGGACTCGCCGGAGTGTCTGAATCGAACGTTGCTCTCGCCCGTACGTTTCCTGAGCCGCCGACGAACGTGTCTGCTATCAACGCCACAGCAGAGTCTTCTAGTGCGGTGTTTGTAGAATGGGATGAGGCTGGTGAAGCGTTTGCAAAGTCAGTTTACTATCTTGTGTCAAACACACAGGATGGGCCGGTGATCAATACAACAGCGCTCACAGCACGCTTCACGTCACTACAGCCGTTTACAGAGTACACGCTAGGCCTCAGTACTTGCACCAGGTTTGGCTGTACAGCAAGTGCACCCGTGAAAGTGCGCACGCAGGAAGCCACTCCGGTGGGTCTCTCGCCACCGCTCACTAGCTCTACAACAGGGCGTTCCGTGACGGTGACATGGTCTGAACCGGCTAGTCCCAACGGAATTGTAACGCAGTACGAAGTGGAGACACGCTTGCCGGGCAATGTCACCGTGGTTTCGATTGCTATTATTCTAGCAGCAATGCCAAGCCAAGCAAGCCACTCGTTTGTAGATACCAATGTCAGACCTGTAGCCAACTATGAATATCGCATTGCAGCGTCGAACAGTGCCGGTACTGTGCGAAGCAATTGGGCTTCAATACGCACCCCCGAAAGCAATCCCGATGATGTTCCACCGCCGAATGTAGGACAGAAAACAAAGTCCAGCATCGCAGCAAGTCTTCTCTTGCCAGTTAGTCCTAACGGTATCATTACCTCATTTAACCTGTACATCAATAGTTCGGGTGCCTCGGTCAGTTTGGATAACTTGAATGCGGTTGTGACTAGTTTGTCACCGCACACTGTCTACGGTCTTGTCGCGTCATTCTGTACATTGGTCGGCTGCACCAATAGCACGGCTGTTGCCGTGCAAACCAGCGAAGACCTGCCGAGCGGCCTCAATCCGCCCGTTGTCACCGACATCTTGGCCCGCTCCATGCGAGTAAGCTGGGGTCCTCCGCTTGTACCAAATGGTGACATCGCCAGGTAAGGGAGGATATCATTCACGGTGTTTTGGAGACCACTGCTAGCTGCTGTGTGCACTGCTAGCTGTTCAGCACATGAGTGCTGAATCACTAGTTGGTCCGATGTTCTGGTTGGGAAACAAATCACACTCACATAGGTGCCGGGTGTGTGATGGCAGGATTGTTAAATTTGTGCTGGCTAGGTGGGAAACATGTGCAATGTCATGACCCTTCCTCCCTCTCTCATAACAGCCACCCTCACTTCCTTTCCCCAGGAGACTCCCTTTGATAGGCATCCATTTCCCTCTGGAGAATCCTTGAAAAATATAATATCAACTTGTAGGGCTGAAACGATCATTCATAAACTCTTAACGATTAACCAATAACGCTAACGATCGATTTATTGGTTTTATCGATACTTTTTGACAATGGAGAAGGGCCTTGTCCAGTCAACTATCCAGTCTATAACCAGTGTCGTGAGATGTCCCGCACGACTGGAGTTGCACGTTCGCATATTGGCCGCACCGCCAAAGAAGTAACGTTAGTTGGAGATCGGCTTCGTATCAGCACACGTTTGAACATCGATCCGTTTGTTGTCCGCTGAAACTGGTGGCTTTCCACCAACAGCAGCCGCATGTTGCTCCTTGTGAGCAGAGCTCAAGTGGGCAAACAAATTGGTCGTTCCGCTCTGGCGGACAAAATCACGACTACACAGTTTACGACGAGCGGTCCATCCTATATCATCAAAAGAGGCCCACACTGGAGACCTTTTACGCGGCTTACTTTCGCAGCTCTAATCATCGACATCTTCCAAACGTAAAACAAAACACTCTCCAACTTCTCCGTGAGCTCACTCCAACAACTGACGACTGGTGTAGCAAAACACCAAGAACAAAAGCCGATCGCCATTGCTGCATGCAACGAATCGATCAGCAAACATTTCGCCAATGTTGCAAGAACAGCGGGAAGTAAGTACGTCGTTACGTTAGTTGCAACACTCCCGGACTGCACTGCATGCAGTGCAATCATGATTGTGTGTTGTGCAGTACAGCCGGTCCACGTTCCCGCGTATAGGTAGAAGTGCATGCAAGTAGATCGTGTGTACGCGTGCTGCATGCAGATAGACTCGGATCGATCGGACACTGCACTCCGATCTTGAACCCCGTGCATGTAGTGCGTACACTTGCATACAATAATCGTTAGAGATTGCTAACGATTATTGATTTCGCCCATAGCGATCGACATCCGAGTTATCGACATAATCGTTTCAGCCCTAATATCAAGTATCAATTATTAAATTGTTCTAACGTTGAAGTTAAAAAAATTAACTCTTACAGTAAATGATTTAACTCCTGCTTGTAAGCAGAGAGAACACTACAGCTGTGCCGCTACCCACTTTCGATTGGCCATGCATAATCATGCCGGGCCTTGGCACCTATGCTGCTTCACTGTGAAAGCGAGAAGGTAGCCTCAACTCAGTGGATTCTCCTTGGTCTCTCTGTGCAGGTATGCACTGTACATGACGGGCGTCTGTGAAGGCGAGCCAGGATTTCCAGAGCGCGTATGTTCCGCACCAAGGACACTGGCTTACCAGGGGCTCTCATTGCAACGAGACGTGCTCAACATCCTACCGTTCACGAGATATTTCTACGAGCTGGAAGCCAGTAATAGTGCTGGTAGCGTGACAAGCTCCAGAAGCCCGCTGCTCAGAACACTGCCAGCAGGTATGAACATTAGCAAACAGTCTGTGTGTGTACAGTCAGACCTCGCATAACCGCACACATCCGTTTTCCACAAAAGTATCCGGATGGTCGAGAGAACCGGATAATCGAACACACATACTGTATGTATGCATGACATATGCTGTAAATCGGTAGCCAACGATTTTATTCCGGATGGCGAGGGATCCGGATAAAAGAGGACCGGGCAAGCGAGGTCTGACTGTATCAAGCTTTTAGGTGTAGATTTGACCACTCATTTTAAGGAGGAGCTGTCACCAAAATAATTCTTTGTCTTATCTTGCAGTCTTTGGGCTCCTGATCACGACGGTGTACTTCGTTTTTATCTGCGATGACTGGGAGTGGGTGAGAACTTAAAAAAGAAGGTGCCCGAAGTACCGAGTGACGTCATGCCGGACTCGACCTTCACGCATACATTCGACGTCCAAACCGAAGTCCAGCCCGTGTGCTAATCGATCAAGCTAGCTGTTCCGATGTACGGTGCACGTGTGTCTTTTGAACGTATTGCTCGGCTTTGGGTACTGGTACTAAGTATTCAATAGGCATTTCTAATGTTTCCCCTTATTTCCTTTCCGAATATTAAAATGGAAGTTGTGTGTGTGTGTGTGCATGCGTGTGTGTGCGCGCATGCGCGCGCGTGCGTATGTGTGTGCGTGCATGTTCACAAGCGTGTGTGTGTGTGTGTGTGTGTGTGTGCGTGGTGCATGTTTGTTTGATTGTTTCCCTATAGCTCCCGAGGTGATTGGCCAGTTGAACGTTGCCCCTAGCAACAGGACCGTCGGCGAGGGTGCAAGTTTCATCCTTGACTGGTCTGGTGCATTCCGCTACAACGGCAATCAGTTTGTCAGATACGTATTGAGGGAAAACCAGATCACTGTGGCAGTGGTCGACACTGCGCTGGAAACCACCTCAGTCGTGACTAACCGGGAATATGACCTGAGTAAGTGAAGAGCACAGTCAACTTTGCGTATAACGACACTCGGCGGGGCATCAGAAAAGTGTCGTTATTCACGAAGTATCCTTAAACCCAAAGTCTCATTATAATGTATACAGGCAGATGGGACTTTGCTCTGGGCATGAAAATTCTGTCGTTATTCGCGAATTTTCGTTATATCCGCAGTCGTTATTAGCGAAGTTGACTGTATACTCGTTGTGTGTGGAGTACCGGAAGATGTTATCTATCTATACCCAGCACTGTAAACTGCCACACTGGACTACCTTTCAGATCAGTTTATCAGGTGGGGAGTTGGGATGAGAGTGGGAAGGAAGGGGGGGGGGGGGGACTAGTCACACATCAACTCTTTTTCCTGTCAGAGGACGGCAAGTCACACATTGCATGTACGCAATAACGTGAGACAGACAAGGCACACGCTGCAAGAGACAAACATGCTTGCAACAATTGACACTGGTTTGTTCTACTCACAAGTCTTTTCTCTCCATGCTCCCTCACAACACTCTCAGCAGTCTCTGGGCTACTAGTACAACAGTCAATTAGACATGACGATGGTGATGGAATTTCCGGTCAAGTCTATTTTATTCAGGAATATGGCAACTCTAGACTAAACGAAATTCACAAATCACAAACCTATTCTTTTTGAGTAATGGATCAACAGGCTGGTTTGATTACCGTATTATCCGGATTACTACAGTATAAGCCCCCACCCCCATTTTTGCCACGAAATACAGACATCTACCCTATTTGTCAATCGTCAGTTTGATCATCAGAGTATTAGCCGCACCCCATTTTTTTGGGTGAATTTTGAGCGTACAAAGTGCGGCTTATACCTCAGAGAATACGGTATTGTGTGCGCATGTCCATGCTGTAAGCGCCTTGGTGTACGTATACTCGCCCAGTCAACACCTGTGTGGGCCTGCCTTGTGTGCTTTACTCCACTACTCTGCTTTCCCTGCAGACTACTCTTATAGTGTGGTTCTCAAGATGGGCTCTTTCGCAGAGGTACAGACACGGGCGCTCTATGTCCACATCCCAGTGCCGACCACACGATCACCAAGTAAGCAACAAGGCAGCGCTGACCTGTGCACTGCTGCTGTAATTGCAGTGACCTGTGCTTTCATTGGAAGGAGTCAAATGCTTACCCGTTACATTGCAACCAGCATCGTTTATTGATCCCAACCGAAACATTACACGCATACTAGAAATCGTCTTTGCTGAATGCTTGCTGCAACGTCACGTATAGTATAGTTCACCCATCAGGTCACCAACCAACCTGTTATCTCGTGACCATTGAACTCATTCCTGTTTGCACCTATTCGTGTAAACGCACTCGCGCAGGCACAATAGGCATGTTCCTAACCCGCGTCAGAACTTCCAGCACATTCGAATGCAGCAAATTGTTTGCCAATGTCGACTGCTGGAGCGAGCAATAGCGCCAGTATGCTACAGTGATCCTATATACTTTTGAGAGTAGGACAGACTGATCTCTCCGGGATTATTCCTAGGCCTTGCCAATCCAATGTGTACTGCAATCTTCTTGTTTGGGAGACCCCGGCCTGGCTATTGTTCTGTCTCAATGCAGCAGTTCCTTGCAGCTTTCATGTTTGTGTTACTCTCTGCAATCTGGCCTGCTCTGCTCGTGCTCTGCAGCTGCTGAGACCGAGCCGGAAGAGGTTTCCAAGCCAACCTACAAGACAACAGGGTTCATCGTGGGAATGGCTCTTGTCGGCGTAGTGCTTCTCATCACCCTGATCTTCTGTCTGCACCGGCCGTCGAAAGCAACCGCAAGCGATGGTCGCACGTACTCTCCCAATCCGCTCATTCAGCCAGGGTCAGCGTCGCCGAAAAGCTACAATAACCGCCGGTCAAAGGCAAGGCCTGAATCGTTCCCAGCAAGTGACTTCTCCACAATAGTAAGCCATGCAACTCCACATTCAATGTCTGCCTGTGCCACACACGTGTGCATGGAAAAAAAAGACCCCACTAAAGTTCACACATCTGTGTTGCCAGCGGCTGCACGCACAATTGGGTTTAGAAACAAGACCAGCTCAGAACGTCTCGCTTGTGCTAGGCCACCACCCACATCCCTCTGGCCACACTAGGATTGTAGCCGCAACGCCTAGAGGCGATATGTGTACTCGTTTGTAGCTACACACACAATATGTTACTTAGAAGTACTTTTGCACGCATCATAGTACAAAGTTGGATTGTGTTATTCTCTACCATCTAGATATTTTTAAGTGATGGGAAAAGAGCCGTGGTGGTGGCCTGATGTCAGCTCTAACTCACTTTGAAAACCCGTAATTGCTCCCCAACCATACTGCTCATTTGGTTATGCTGTACATGTATACTGTACATGCCTTTGCTCCGATTATAGTATGTACTCATGTACTTGCTCTGTGACATATTGTGTTGTTTGTGTTTGTGTTCATACATCAGCCCACATCCAGCCCACCCGGTTCAAAGGACCCTGGTAATGTTGCTCTCCTGAGAACGAATGTCAACATCTACAATGAAAACGAAGATGAATACGATAGCCCATGGCATGAGGTAGGGTTGGACAAGGCGTACATATACGGCCTAGTCTTAGCATGCTTTAGTATAGCATCAACACTGCCGCAGTGAAAGGTGCATTTTGCCATCACTGGCGAACTGAAGCTCCGCTCCTGAAGGCTGAGTACAATAACCCAGCGAAGCATGGACACCAACGGTTGCCTCCTCTGTCCAAAGTGAATATTCACTCGTGCTGATAACCCCGGCAGATTTTGTGCTTCGATGTACGATTTTTCTTTCAAATGTACACCATGCGCGAGCTATTGTGCTAGATACAGTGCTATACACCTCTGACGAGCCCCTTTTTTTTAAATTAATGGGCTCAAACATCGAGGACTGGGCGTACTGTCCTGTCATTCTATGTGTGTTTGCAGTTGCTATGCTATCACCTGTAGATAGCTGTATATAAACTAGGGCTGAGTCAGGCAGCATTTTTCTTCAGGTATCGGGTTCAGGTAGTTTTCGACGGTTAGCACGGGTACCCGATCGGGCAATGTTTCCATGGTAGCACCACAATGCACCCCTTCCCATATTCACTGGGTAGAGACATGAATTTGTACACGTGCACTGTACCCAACTACCCATGCACACCACTAATGTAAACGAAAGAGAATTCTTTTTTCTCCCTCTCTTCTTCATACCTACAGGTCAGTGGAAATCACCGGGGACAGGTGAACAGTGTTGCCATGGATACAAGTGGGTACGAAGGCCCTCTCCTGAAAGACACCCAGATATAGCCACAGAGTACACTGTAGATGGGCCTACCAGCGGAGCTGCTGGCATCTTGACGTAAATCTCTCCTAGACCCACAAAACCGTTACACTTCGTCAAGCTCTTCCATAAGCAGCTTGTCTCATTCTTGAGAGCGGCGACAATCTGAACATGCTTATGACCGTTGTGTGGACACTTACAGTGAAGGTGGTGCGCCTTCGTGACTGGTGGAAATCATTTCTATCAGTTTGATTAGGCTTCTTTCTTTTTCATTCTTGCAACCCCCGCCCGCTTCAGTTTTATTCATGCCTCTCCCTGAGCTTCCTGCACACACTGCAGCGGTGTAAGTCGTTGTTGAAATGCCGCTTTGTTAGTCACGTGCGTTCCTGTACGATGTTGAGACCCTTGAACTATGTACATGACTGTACATGCATATTATGACTTGGTGTAAATTATTCGCAGTGCTATCAAAACTATTTTTGAAGTTAATAAAATACCGGACACAATTACTTTAGTTTTGAAATAATTGGATCTGCATTCATCTAAACCCTGTTTCCGAGCACAGGAAGCGAGCACGTATCTAAAAATGACCGGTTGCAACCACAACTCCTGGCCCAAGCCAGGCAGGGAGTCTTGAAAGCGACCCGTGATTTCTAACCCACGTGTTACCATGATTGCCATGCCATTGGATTGCCATGACATTGGCGTCTTCCCAAGGTCGCCCACAATCCACATGCATAGTCGGTCAGTGCACTAGTACTAGTACAGTACAGACTTGCTAGTACTAGTACTTAGTAGATCTACCAAGTCGAGTATGCCCCCTTATTTTAATTTTACTCTTACCAGTACTAGTACTAGTGACTAGTACTACTGAGTAGATCTAGATTCAATGACACTTCGCGGGTAAGAGACCACGCGATCACACAGTTGCTCACGTGGTCAACCGTGGTCAGCTGCAGTCTGTAGACTGTGTAGTGTAGCGCCGGCATATGGCATCTCTCAAACTGAGTTCATAATAATTCCTGATTACGCTCTGATATCGAGGGGAGAGTCCAAATCAGGACTCGGCCAGGCCCCTGGCCCTGCCAAAGTGCCATGGCATGATCATACACTGCAGTACTCGCTTATCCATTATTATTGACCATAGACACTACTATGCTTCCAAGTATTACTATTAGTATTACAAGTTGACACCGAGGGCTTTACTTGTCCGTCACCGGTCACCATTCACCAACCAAAAACCTTGCAGAAGAGGTGAGGCAGCGCGTCTGTACTGTGCTGCGCCGATGGTAGCCTGTCAAGTGTCAGCAAACAGACTCAGCTCGTGTCAAGTGCAGTGCATGCTAAAATTATTACAAACAATAAACGCACAGAAGATAGGAGAGATCTAGCCTGGGCACTTTCTGGTGCATGACGGTACACGCACACGCCGAGCTACAAGAGTTCAAAGTCTAGGTAACTTGATCTGCTTCTCTCTAAGTAAGTTAGTTAGTTCTGGTGGAGCTATTCGCTGAGCGGACGAAATGGCCACTATTCGCTCCCCCGCATTCATCGCCCTCCTGGGTTGGTGGCTGTCTGTGCTAACGTATTCGGCAACGGCCGACCAGACGACCTTCGACTGTCCCATGCGACAGCAAATGCTGCAATACGCACACAAGCTGCAGCCTTGGAGAAGCACCCACGCGTTCCAGCAGATTGCAGACGCTCTCAACGGAGCAAAGGAAGCCCAACATTGCAATGTTTCGCTGCCTGATGAGCTGCTGAGTAAGGATGGATATCACAATGGAGACGGACACCCTCGTAACATCCCATTCGTGCCTACTCCCGAATCTGGAAGTCAGTATTACGTAGATACAGTCCACGGTATTGATACTAACAGTGGCACAGCACCCAATCAAGCGTTCAAAACCATCCAGAAAGCCGTAGAGGTATCAAGGGGAAGTTCAGTGGAAAGACCAGTGACAGTACTGCTGCTGGCGGGTACGTACTACATGAGTGATGAAGCGCTAAGTCTTGGATCAGCGGACAATAATCTGTCCTTTCAGAATTACCAGGGAGCAGAGGTTTGGCTGAGTGGAGCCAGACTCATTACACCTGAGTGGAAAGCCTATAACGTGTCACCTGGAGTACAGTGGGATGTTGTTACCAACCTGAACGCCTTCTTTGGTGAGGCGCCCAGCAAAAATCTGGTGAACAATGGCACGTACAGTACCTGGGAGTTGTGTGAAGCTGCATGTCAGAAGAATGGGTCGTGCAACACGTTCATCTGGTGTGCGCAGCACCCAGGTTACGTGAATCAATGTTGGTTCCGGTTTGACCATCAGTGGGCCTTACACGCCGATAAGAATATTGTTAGCGGGCACAAAGTGTTCGGTCCAAATGTCTATGTGGCTGACTTGTCCGGGCTGGGAATCGCCTCCATCAAAGGCCTGCGTGTGAATGGTTCCAGGGCTATTCGTGCACGATTCCCAAACGCGAATCCAGAGGAAGGATTTGGGTCCACCTTGCACCCGAAGTACCTGCCAAACACGCTGCCCGCTGAGCCCGATTACACAGTGGCACCGACCACTCCATTCCGAAACACTTCCGATTCGTATCAGTACTACACGGTGGGTGTGGGTGGACCCTGCTCAGAGTACGATCCACCTGCAAGCTACTGGGCATCTCCGAAGGACGTGGTGCGAGGGCATGGCGTGTACATGCCATCGCATCCATCCGGCTTTGTCGGCGATCCCTCCATGTTCCCCAATATGCCGTACAAGGATCCAACGACCGCCGTTGTTCACTGCTGGCGTACCGCTCACTGGTTCAGCCTTATGTACTCGATCAAGTCTTATGACGAGACCAGCACAAACTTTACTTTTGACAAGGGAGGATTTCAGGGTGCTGAGGGGGATCCCAAGCACGCTGAAATGTATATTGAGAACGTCTTTGAGGAACTCGACTTCCCAATGGAGTGGTTCTATGATGAGCATACACAGATGCTCTACTACTTCCACAATGGCACGGGTGCTCCACCGGCTGATCTAGTGTTTGAGGTTGTTCAAAACCAAGTACTGGTCAATATGACTGGTACGCAACAGCTGCCTGTCAGGAATATCAGCTTCACGGGAATCAACTTTCGAGACACTGCCTACACATACCTAGAGCCCCATGGCGTGCCATCGGGCGGAGACTGGGGACTTCAGCGTACAGGTGCTATATTCTTGGAGGGCACTGAGCACGTCATGTTTGACAGCTGTATCTTTGAGCGGCTTGACGGCATTGGAGTGATGATATCCGGCTACAATCGCTACGCAACCGTAACCAGGTCAGAGTTTGTCTGGATCGGAGACAGTGCCATTGCGTCGTGGGGATACACCAGTGGTGTGCCTAAGGTTCCTGGCGTCGGCTGGGACGGTACGGACGGGAACCACCCTCGCTACAATCAAATCACCTACAACCTAGTTCATGAACTGGGAATCTGGGAGAAGCAATCGTCGTTCTACTTCCAAGCCAAGTCCTGTATGAACAATATCCACGGTAACATTCACTACAACGGTCCACGTGCTGGTGTGAACTTCAATGACGGTTTCGGTGGCGGAAGTAATTTGACAGAGAATGTTCTGTTCAATACTTGTCGCGAGTCCGGAGATCACGGACCGTTCAACAGCTGGGACAGGCAGGTAAGAGAAAGGCACCTACTGTAATCTACAAAATTCCGGCAGCTATTCAGTTTTGGCTATACACACAAGAGAGAGAGAGAGAGAGAGAGAGAGAGGGGGGGGGGGGGAGGGAGTGTGAGAGAATCATATTGGTGATATGAGCGAGAGGGGAGGGGAGGGAGAGGGAGGGAGAGAGAGAGAGAGAGAGAGAGAGAGAGAGAGAGAGAGAGAGAGAGAGAGAGAGAGAGAGAGAGAGAGAGAGAGAGAGAGAGAGAGAGAGAGAGAGAGAGAGAGAGAGAGAGAGAGAGAGAGAGAGAGAGAGAGAGAGAGAGAGAGAGAGAGAGAGAGAGAGAGAGAGAGAGAGAGAGAGGGGGATCTGTGTTGCAACTCCGAGCTTCACGTAGTCACGATCATCAGTCAATTCCAGCCATATTTGGTGCTGACCTAAAACGCCAAGATTAATATGCTGGCAGATGAAATTTTTCACATCGGCTTTGGTGATGTACTAGTATTAACCCCTTATCAAAAATAAATCGCTGCCGGAATGCCGAAAATCGTGAAATGCCAAAATTGTGCGGAGCCGAAATTTTGCTTATTTTTCTCTGGTTAGAGTTGGAAATCGTTTCCATTGCTGGGGTGTACTGCATAATTTGAATGCGCTGTTGCAGATTTTCAACTCTTAGACATTGTTTTCCGACTGTGGATATGAAACATACATTTGACTATGTTGAATCCATCTTGAATAGTCCAAGCCTTGTCCACGGTGACGGCTGGAGACTGGTGGGATATCTTTCTACGAGAATCCAGCATTACATTGCACTATATTGCAGGTGTTTGTGCTTGACTATAGTGTAGAGCATTTTGGCTATGGTGTAAAGCATAGAGTTATACGTCTCTTCGACGCTACGAGGCTATGCAGGTGTTTCACCGCATGTAAAGAGTAATAATTTGTTTGGTCTGCACTGTATACTGTATTATGCCATCCGTGTACATGTACATGTGCTGTAGGTGTTCACCTTTATTCTGGACGAAGCCGGCCAACCAACAACCACCAAGCGTTTTGACAACATTGCCTATAACTACATCCTGGATAACTACGATAGCCAGGAAGGCATCGACAATGATGACGGCTCGGCGTACTACGAAACCCATCACAACGTGTTCGTGTACAGCGGGAATGGGATGAAGAACGACTTCAACGGCCACGACAACCACCATCACAACAACATATACGCGTATGTCGGCCATGGATTTGGAATCTGCGGCCAGCGAGAAGGGCACGTGGACATGTTCTACAACAACACGCTCGTCCAGACGCGAGACGGTGACTATGGTAACCCGGCATGCTCCGGGCCCGGCAAGACCGTCGTCCATGACAACAGTGTGTACACACCGACTGGCAGCGTAACCGAGTGTCGCATGTCGCTGGCAGACTGGCAGAAGCAAGGTAATGACCCGGGCACTACAGCTGCCAAGTACCCAGAGGACAATGTCCTGCTCCATGAGATCAGCACCTTGCTCGAGATCGACTGAACACACACCTCATACAAATCCACCATAATGATCACTATGAAGTGCGCATCGGGTGATAGATAAAATTTCCAATATTAGTTCGTGCAAATGGCCATTGAGATTTTCTCCTTATTTTATGTGTTGCAAATTTACAAGAATTTTGTGATTCAGATGCTTTTCATTCTTCTACGTTTTAAAGTTTGCAGGTTCCATGAGTTCCAGAATTTTTTTTAAATCGGGCTTGAAAGTGCTACGTCACAGCCCGAGTCATGGCAACGCTGGCTTTTGGATGTACTTTGTGTATGGATCCAGGCAAGTTTGGGTGGTGGTCTTCCTTCACACCAGGGTGATTCATTTGGCTGCAGTGGCGGGGCTAGGCCCTCCCGGTCGGGGACCCAACCTTTGCAGAAAAATAACACCTGCATGCATGCGGTACGAAGGGCCTACCAACCAATACTGTAGTTCTCTATGGTCAAAGTGTATCTAAGTATTTGCCCCAGAAGTCGTTATTTGTTGACTTTCCACGTCTTCACTTTCATTGAGCCCTATTGACAGACCGCTCCTCCCTCCATACACGTGTAGTACATGACATACACACACACACACACATACACATACCTACTAGTATTGCCTGTCTAACTGGAAGAAATGGTTGAAAGGATAGGCAAATGTGAAGGGCTACGGATAGACGATTGGAGTCCTGCCAGTGCAAGCGTGCCAGGAAAATGAGAGCTGCCGATGAAATCCCTGGGGTTAAGGAGGTGTTGGAGTTTTCAATAGCTAGAGTCTGAAGAATGGTGTCATGATGGCACGGGACCGACTCAACTCACGAGGGTGATTGAAACGAAGCAGAGGACAGCGATAACGGCGACAGGGAGAATACGCGCAGAGTCGCCCTACTGTGGCGCAGGAAGACGTTCCGGTTCTAAAACATATTATCGTTGGATTGCTCTAGACAACACCTTTGTATTCCTGAGGATGTGATGGATAGGGATATAAACCATTCCCATTGATACTCGTATGTTCTTCTCGTTGCAGGTCCTAGCATGGGAGCCCTACAACCGCTGTTGGCGTGCTGCTAATGGTGTTCTAACTCGGTAGCTGTGCGAATACAAGCCCGGTGTGCATCATCGCCCACGTATGAATACAGGTCTCGACATCTCACTACACGCTGTTACAAGCATGATGGACTAGACAAGCTTGACTGTGGACAGGTGATAATGAGTGGGGTGCAGTCTCCTGGCTTCACAATATCACAGCTCAACTGTCATAGTCTGGAATTGTTTGTGTGGGATGTGGATGTGGAGATGCACACAATGTCACAGAGCGTGTGTGTGTGTGTGTGTGTGTGTGTGTGTGTGTGTGTGTGTGTGTGTGTGTGTGTGTGTGTGTGTGTGTGTGTGTGGTGTGTGTGTGTGTGTGTGTGTGTGTGTGTGTGTGTGTGTGGGTGGGTGGGTGTTGTCGGTATCGTGTTGCACGTCATACCTGTCGTCAAAGTCACTTGTCAGCTGCATCCGTCAGCTGCGCACCTGACCAGGCCCACCCCCCCCCCCCCCCCACACACACACACATGTCGCGTGGAAAGACTATGCTGTCCGAAAAACCCACGCAGTTGCGTGATAACGAGCAAACAGAAGGGCTTTTATGGCCACGATTACCACAGTCCGTGCACTTGTAGCGCTGTGGTTTGCTCCGTCCTTCCCGCTCCGCCTAAAGGAACAAAAACTTACTTGCTGTGTTTATTCCGTCACCCAGAGGTGACAGCAGCAACGTGAGAGCTCACATGCAGTCCAATGTTTAAACGTGACGTTGGTCTGGGTATGGGACACAGATACGATAATACATGCAGTTTCCCTGTTCGCACTGAATCTAGCCTGAATCATAGTGAATGGCGCTGTTCATGCGTGAGTCGTCATGCCAGTGCCTTTTGCCGGCTCGCCCAACATTGGTAAATACCAGAGGAGTAATGTCCACTGTTTAGAGTTTATGCCGGTTCATATTAATTTTTCTTCTCCTTCTAGTTCTCTGGCCCAGTGTTTTCTTTCACCCTTTGCACTCACAGACATGCAGTCAATGATCCCCCCCCCCCCCCCCGGGTAAGGCCAAAGGGTAAGGGAACAAGCAAAAGAAGAATCCAACTGCGCACTGGTCGACCAGGGCATGCCACAGTGTATGGTGCGACTACAGTAGTGACGTCCCTCAGCCTTGCATAGTAACGGGTGTCGTAGAATCTCAGCACTCGTTGTAGTGCTACTGTGTGCTATGCTTGGCAATGTTCACAATGGTTTACTATCACCCCCATTATTGGTTCCCTTGTTACAGCACGTGCACTGCACACATGTAGTGGGCCTGATTCTGAAGTGTGCTTTTATTGTGCGCATACTCGTATCTAATGCCATGGCAAGGATACCGGGCATTGGTCTGCCTGTGTCAGCTAGCTATCAGGCCGTCGTGCACGTGATCAACACTGATCATGCTCCGTCTAGTCTGTTTGGTTGTTTACGAATACGAGTCTACGCCTGCTAGTGTGGGTGGTGGGTGGTGGTTGTACTGGTAGGCAGTGGTAGGCAGTAGTAGGTGGTACATGGTGGAAGGCATGGGGGGACTGCGTCACCAGGAGTCTACTGTCAGTTTATCACTGCACCGCATCCCGGATCAAACTTCTACGTCATGGATCAGCACCGACCATGATGTCGGCCAGTCGCTGTCTTGTGCCGCATAGCCAGCTGAACCGTCATGACATGCATGTAGAGGAGACGGCTCGATACCGGGACGTTTTGACAGCCAAATTTGTATAGACCCAAACCGTTCATCAGCGTTGATTTTTCACTCGAAATATGTTTGTGGAAGGAAACTGGCATGTTGAAGTTTGCTCTGGGGCCAGAGTCAATCGAACTGAGCCACTCCTTTGTGTTGACCCATTGCCTCCAAGTTGCCCAATTTTTCGCTTCAAAAAAGTTCAAATCAGAGGTGGCTCCAAACCGGACACGTTTTAGAGTGCACGTCAAATTTACTCTGGGTCTGAAATTAGGTAATTGCTATCGCTCCACGACGGCCAGTATAGAGTAACAATAAGCCTTGTGTGTGCTTCCATTAGTTTTGATTGGTATGCGGTGCTTTATTGGCGAGAGGCGAGCCGCTGTTTACCTGCGACAAGAAGTTGATTTTTTGAAAGTCGTAAAACTCAAGTCGCAGTGCGAAGCAACACGTCAAAAACTCACCTGCTTGATATGGCGCTTCTGGTCATCGCAGAGCCATGAAATTTTGGCTCGGAGTATAACACAATAGTAGTCTCACTGTGACATATGTTTTCTAATCAAAATACCAAGAGAGAAAGTGAATATTGAGTCCGTTCCGGTTTGCAACCGGTGTCCTATTTGAAACCGTCCCCTCTACATGGACTGCACATCAACTTGACAGAGACTAGCCTGAAGTCCGATCCGGACAAGATCGTGTTGACACCAGAGTAGACGAACACATGTCGCGCGCAGTTACAGCAGTTTTCTCCGTGTTTATGCACCACCCACACACCGACATCGTAACATCGCCCAGATGTTTGCGGTGGAGAATTGGCCAACTTGGCGGGCTGAGCGAGAATAAAAGCGAAGCGGTGATCCTCTCCAAGTCATACCTTCAGAGTCTCAAGAGAAGAGAAAGTAGGAAAAGATTCGCTGCACAGGGCTATAATTATTACAATTTGCTTGAAGCTTGACTTTGGGAAATCCTGAAATACAGATTATTCCTGAAGAGCCATGGCATTTGCCCTCACCTTGTTCGCTGTACTGGCGGTTGTGACGGTAACAGAAGTACTGGGCTTTGCTTCCTATCGCTCACGAATCCCTAACGGATTCGCTGTTCAACATCCCTGTGATGCCAACAAAGTCTGGTCGGGCGTGGGGCACAACAGTGATCAAGGCGGCGACGCTCGCAACCCGTTCGGATTGGACTTCCAGGCGACAGGCCACGCCTGGACCGACAGTCTCTGCCGTGCCGATTCCGATAAGGACGGACTGACCAATGGGCAAGAGTTGGGCGATCCCGACTGCAAGTGGCAGCCTGGGCAATCTGCACAGCGCTCCACCAACATCACGCATCCAGGGTTTGATTCCAGCCGGGTAGACTGTACGCGATTCTTCAAGCGCTGCAAGGCATTCGACGCCCCGGGCGTGAAGTACTTTGACCTACGCGCTGCGAACGGTTCTGAAGACACCATAGTGCCCGCCAAGGAAACTACGTACTATAACATGAACTTCGAGTTGCCTGCAGATCGCCAGTATCATGCAGTTGGATTTGCACCGATCCTGGACAACGTCAACGTTATCCACCACTTCCTCGTCTACAGCTGTGATAGGCCTCGTCCAACCGGCAAAGGCTTCGAGGCGTTCAGCAACCATGAAGACTGCCAGAGACTTGTCTACGGATGGTCATTCGGAATGGGCGATGAGTGCTTCCCCATGGACACTGGAGTCCCATTCGGCGGGAAACATCCACGATATGTTCAACTACAGCTCCACTGGACTAACAGGAACAAGGTTGCCGGCTATCGCGACATGTCCGGTGTTCGAATGTACTACACCAGCAAACCGAGGAAGTACGATCTGGGCTTCATCTCCGTGGGGCAGCTGAATCTCAACATCCCGTCGCAACAGCCGGCTGTGGAGGCGTCCTTCGGCTGTAGCAGCGGCTGCACCAAGACACTACTGGACCAGGGACCCGTGAAGCTTATCACCGGTGCGCCACACATGCACTTCCTGGGAAAGTCCATGCTCGTAGACCTGATCAAGCCCACTGGGCACCGCCAACGGATCCTGAATGACAAAGTTTACAACTATAACGCCCCGGCTACGTACGACTACCCCTCGCCGAACTATATCGACTTGGAGGCTGGCGACAAACTCGTAGGATCGTGCACCTTCAATAGTATGGAGCGGAACGACTCCACATACTGGGGATACGGATCGTATGATGAAATGTGTTTCGGATTCTTTCGATACTACCCCAGTCGCGGAGCTCTGAACTGCTATCAGTACGGCGAGAACGATCTCTGCTACGACACGACAACCGTGGACGGTCCTCGCTGCAGTCTTTTCCATTACTTCGAGAACATTACCGTCACCGTCAACAACGCCATGCACGCGTGCAGTGACGTCATGCATGCCGCCGCCGCCGAACAAGCGAAGCAGGCGCAAGACCAACCGACCGGCAGCGGGGGCACAGCGACTACTCGGAATGCTCGTCCGGTGTGCACGTCTCAGTGCCTGGCGCAAGTGTCACGCATCCTAAAGGCGCACAGAGACCCATGCCAGAAGACCAGGCATCGCAAGGAGTGGAAGCTGCTGGACAGCCTCGTGTCGCAGAGGACATCCACCCTGGATGACGTGGTCAGCCATTGCCAAACAGTCGGTATGGTTGAGGAGGAGGTACAACAGCTGAACAGTGGTTCTAGCACCCTCCTCACGAGCTGTCCACTGTTTATCATAATGGCATCACTCCGCTTGTTGATTGTCTAGCACTATGATCTAAACCCTGGACTAGTTCACTGAAAAGTGTTGTTTGAGGAAGTCTTATTTCTTCCATGTTGCTACTTGATGATTCTAACGTTATCGGCATTATGCTGTTTTCACTTGTCTCTCGTTTCTTCAGCTACATGTACGTTACATCATTGGTGCGTTTGTCTTCTGTCCACATGGTCAGCGGAACCTCTCCGTAATATGATGGGCGTTGACGTACAATGCATATCCCTTGAAGCTACATGTGGCGTTATACTGCTATGAGTATGCCCGTGTGAGCTATATCTTTCCATACATCCCTTCATTATTTGCAACATAACTAATGGTCATCTGAAACTTCTTCTTGATTTCCGTCGTAATAATTTGTTTCCATCCAAGCACGCAGTGGCCTAAGGATTCGCTTCTGCTTCAAATTCTATTCGGTCTTCGATTATTATTCATGCACCGATCACGCTGACTAAGTTATCGGATTTGTATAAATACCAGCTTTTGTTCTGGGAGAACAATATTGTCAGAAACCACCAAGATTGAAGTGTACATGGCTCAGTTGCTACACTTATGGTCAGGGGTGGTCTTGAAGACAGGCGTGGGATGTGACCATGGTGACTTGCCACCAGCGAAACGTACTCATTAAATTTTGGTTGTTCAACTGTTGAGTGTTGTGTTTCTCAAGTGCTATAATTATATTATTATGACTCTAGACAGTTGTCAAAAAGCCTACGGAGACGGTCCTAAGGCTGCATAGTGTTCTATGACCAGTGGACAGAGCCAGTAATACAATGATCACACCGCAATTTCACAACCAAGTTCTTTTCCGCCGTTACTCAGAGTTTCGTGTGAAACACTCATCAGACAGCATGACCAAGACTAGCATTCACTAGAATATATACGGAGGGTCTTGAGAAAAGAGGGCAGAGGTGATGGAGTTACAACATTTCAATAGCGCGAGGAAAAGGATGTGGCAAAAATTGGCGTCATTATAAAAGAAAAAAGATGTTATGTTACATAAAATTTTCACGGTTCGCGTGAGACTCGACTGGAAGCCGGGCTTTCCGCATCCGTAGGAACGCCACCACCCTTCAAGGATCAAGGCGCAGATGCAGCTCCTAATTACCTAAAGCGGTGGGAGGTGAGTAGATCAGCTCACCAGCAAGTGGTCAAAGACCGAAAATCCCATGTTATGTTACATACCAAAGGGTTAAAAGTACACGGCTGTATAGGGTATAGAGCCATAGGGTAGAGGAATAGTGCGATGCTATACATGTAGCACACACACTACTCTATAGAATCTGATAGTATAGTGCTCAATTACATGGCAACACAGCAGTACAGGTTATGACTGACACTCTATATTTATGAGTCTAATCCGACTGGATCCTATTGAGTCGACTTG